TTAGAAAGCATCTTCCCCACTGTTCTGCAAAAGGCTCAAGTAAATATGGAAAATACATTACATAAATAGCAGTTTCAAAAAAAAAATAAAAAAGGACAAATCCCAAACAGCCTAAGGACATTTTTGTCTTTCAGCTATAACAACTGTCACTAAAGGCTCCTTTAAAGGCATCCAGAAGTCAGCAGCGCTCCTTTACCATGATTTATTTCACATTAATCTCCCGATTCCGAGCTCCAAATAGATGCTCTGTAAATTCACATCGTGCGGTTGGTAAGCCTCTCTCTGCCTTCGTTTGCACATCGCCAAATTAAATTGTAGAAATGCCGCTGCTCTGTTCCCCTTTGGAGTGGCAGATGTCCAACTGCCAGCTGTACAAGCACCGAGTATGGAGCACTAATTACAGAGTAATCAAACGCGGTGTTAATCCATACACGGGAATTTTATTGTCACTTAATGAGTGCGCCACCATTAGCAGATAAACACACGTGCGGCGTGTTACCGCTGCATCCATCGAGCTTTAAGCGTTTCCATAAGGTGGTGGAGAAAGGAGAGCTGGGTGATTGGGCAAATTTGGGCTTTCCAGAAGCTTTTGGCCCCGAAAGCTCTCGTGAAAACAGCAAGTCGAGCTGTCACAGGGTGACAGGTAGAGCTGCTTCATGGATTAGAAGCTGGCAAAGAGACACAAAAGAATTCAAACATTAATTGTGGCAAAACGCTTCCTGCACCTGGGTCAGGGAAGTTACACGCTCAGATCCATTTCAGTCTTCCAGACTGCGAGGCTGTGGCATTGTCTCCTTTTAAATCACACTTTAGAAATCATCAGTGTCACCATGTCTTTAAATAATTCAGCTGCAGCCAGGCAGCGGGGCTGATCACACCCAATTAATCCTCCCTTCTTCCTTCACCTGCCACTTTATTATTGAAAGGACAGGCAGAGCTCTTGTAAGCCCTTGAAGGCAGACACAGCTGGCTTTATTTCAGGTTTTTATTTGGCCTCACATGGATTGTACCTAGCTCAACAGTCCTCCTCCAAAGCCTGTGGAGAAGGAAGCAGGATGTCCACGAGGCCCAGGTGACAGCGGATGTGGCAGTCAACATCCAATCCTGATGACATTTTCTAACTTTCAGTAAGTTTAGCTAGTTGGTAAGCTCCAAAGCAACGATCCTCATGCAGAAACAGAGATCCAAGTATCTTTGTTGACAGCTCAGCTACTGTTTTTGTAACTTTGCTCGGAAAAGACAGTGGTATTTTTGTGTCACTGTTTACAACACTGGGAGTTCTCTCACGGCGCTGTGTCTCTCTCCCACCTAACCACACAAATAACAGCCATCTTACCCCTTGACTAGATCAGAAATAGGAAAGATTTACGAAACTCTAACAGAAGTGGCGAGAAACGTGGGCAGATTCTTATGATCTGCTTTTTTTTTCCCCTGAAATATGAGTTCCATAAGGCAAGGAAAGTTATGGAAATACGATAAACAAAAAGCAACAGGTTTGAGTGAGGATTACAAACCCCTAGGTACCACAGAGGGCTCTTTTCAGCTTAAATCATCTGTTTAAATCATGCTGCTCTCCACGTTTACAGCAATGGAAATCTACAAACATCGGGTCCGTCCACTTGTTGCCATGCACAGGATGAATGTTTCTCAGAAGGATGAACACAAAAAAAGATTAAATACTTATCACAGAGACATTCAAATCAAAACAGACCCCAAAAACTTAACACCACGTGGGCTAAACTGACCTGAAACATCACCCCCGCTAAAATACGTAACGATTTTGCCCTTAAACAGCAGGACTCACATCCTGTTGTTGAGGTGGGAGGGTGTTTTCCTTGCTTATTATTTGGAGCACAGAAGCTGGGGTAACTCAGCAGCCAGGCACTGGGAGGTGGAAAGGATTAGCTCAAAACAAATGCACCTGTACTGCGTGCCCTCCAGCACACGGGAGTGGATCCAAAGCTCCCGAGGAACCCTGATGAGTGAATTACTCCACCACGCAATAAATTTCATCAGTGAGGGATATGAGAGTCATTTTGGTGCTTAACACAGGTTGGCACGGTAATTCTTTACATCTGTTTTTTTTTCCATTTCAATCCATTTAATATCCTAAGGAAGGACACGGAGCAGTTAGTCATCCTCCTCCACGAGGCAGGAAAATTGGCAAAGTGCAGACCCAAGGCAAGAAAACGCATTTTTTTTTTGTTACTAAAAAAAAAAAAAAAAAAAAGACTGTAAATACAAGTCATTGTGTTTGGAGAGAACGCAAATATGAAGTGCTATAGAAACAACGCTGCCCCACGTTACCTCACCTTCACTTCTCTGGTTACGCACAACCGATTAGCTGCCACCATTTAGTAATTCTTGAAGGAGTGAATGGCAAAGAACAGCACGTAGGCTTCTGGAACACAGCGTAGTAATTTTGGTACAAAATGTTAAATACCACATAGACTTAATTTGCTAACCAAGCTTTCAGTTTGACTCTTCAGCACACTTTAGAGATCTAAAGAAGATCTAAAGAAAACACAGTATTTGTTCTGGAACTACCAGTACCCTTCAAGCTTTGGGCCTCCAATAATTTCTTATAGATTATTGTTATAAATTATTTACAACAAGCATTCAAAGCAAAAATTTTAAGTATGCCACCAACTCAACTGGGTCATATCAAGACAGCAAGAGGTCAGAAACTGATTTTCACTATTCTGGAAGGTAAGTAACACAAGCTGCACGTTTTTAAAGCAGTATCTTCAACAGCAAGATCAAGAATTACCACAACGAGAACTTTGAGCGAGATAAGAAAAATATTTTTGTACTTTCTGGTTTGTTTACTCTCTGAATTTGAGTTTTTGCTAAAAGCAATGAAGCCATAAAGGCACAGCAACTGACAAAAGGCAGTTGGGTCACAGAGACCCCAAATATACTCTCAGCTCTTCTGTTGAAGCATCGAGACTTCAGGACAGCATCTCTCTGATCTTCTAAAATAATTAGCTTCAAATTACGTATTTCAGAATCAGTTGGGAAAGACCCTTCAGCTGCTTTACAAAAGACACGTTGCCAACCCACTTTTGCTGGCTAAGGCTTAATTTAATTACAGTGAATCCACATCCTCAAAAAACAAACACGTATTTCCTCTGACCCTCACAGTGCAGCTACAGAATTATTGCTGAATAAGATCTAAACCATTGTGACTTCTCCACTGACATCATCCGCTGTTAAGCCAGCCCTAAAATACGGCTGGTTTATTTACTGTTCTGCCTTTTAAATTTGGTCCATTTAAATGCTCTAAGTTTAGCACAGCTCTTATATGCAGTTGTTTCAGCACAATTGTGCTGAAAAAAAATGTGGTCCCAAACACTAACACCATCAGGAGGGACCAGACCTTCTATAATTGGTCCCTTTTTCTTCCAAACACACACCTTTCCACTTCCCACCATTAATCCCACCTTCTTTCTCCTGCATAATCCAGAAGCGGATGAAAAATACCAGTTCACGCATCCGACAGCCAGGAGATTATTTCCAAATTTACATGCTAGTCAAATTTATCCTCGCATGGGTGAAGGAGCAGCACTTCCTCTTCCCTATGCAGATTATCTCACAGGCTACTTTTCACCACAAGGAAAACACAAAAATACATACTCTGCAAAAGCATCAGTCTATTTAAGAACTTCCCACTTTGTCCCATTTTAGCGTATGAAGTTCCCTCTTGAGCAGCCATAAAACTACGCGCCAACTTCCCTTTCCCCCCCTGAGTTTCTATGTCGTTTGTGCTAGCGTTTTTCACTCTTTTCCCATTCCCACACTCTGCAACCTCTTTCACAACTATTTCTGGTGGTTCCTCACCCCTGCGTTTGTCACCAGGAGTCCCAGAGCCTTCCCTCCCCTGCCTGCCAAGCTCTTCCAAAGCACTGCAGAAGCATCCCAGCTATGTGAGAGGCATTCTCGGATTGCCTGCTCCAAGCACTTCAGGAGAGGAGAGCCTGTTTAATATTTTTTTTCCTAGGATCTTAATGCTTCAAAAGCAGCCTCTTACCATATAGGTGTGAAGGGTTTGTTTTGCAGGGCAGGGAGTCTGCCTGGTGGCAGCACTACAACTCCTGGTGGTAGTGCTACAATTACTACACCCTTTAAAGTCACAAGACACAAAAACACTGCATTTTTTGGCAAAATATCAGTGACAGAGGGCTTGACCCCTTACCCACTAACGCAACATACCGCGTCTCAAGAGCCATGCAGCCCTGATGGATGACCCTGGAGTTGAAGAACCTCCTTCTTTCTCTAAAGCACGCTTATATACGTACATATAAATCCCTGACTGCCCTGAATAACATAAGTTTGAGGTCAAAACAACAAACTGAAGGACTCCTGAGGTTCCTCAGGGCTGTTGTAACAGGTAAGGCCCACCACCTGCAGCAAAAGCAGCCCTGAGGAACTGGTGGAGAGCAAGGCGCCTGTCGGCTACAAGGACACCTTCTACCTCCCCAAACTATTTCGGTGTCATCCTGCAGAGCTGTGTGGCCTCATGGCACGGTGCCCCGAGTTATTTCCCAAAGAGGGAACCCTCTAGAAATGGGTCTGTGCTGTAAAACCAACTTTATTCCAGCACCAAGCCCCCCAACACCCACCTCACCCCTAAGATGTCTCCCCCTCCTCCTGCCCCACCGCTGCTCGGGGCGCAGCCTAAGGGGAGAGTTTTGGGACAGCGGGTGCCCAAACACCACAGTGAGCTGTGGGAGGAACCATTCAGACGGATATTTTGAGGCAAAAGGGTCAGGAAAAGAGAAAAAATCCCTGCTTCCACACAGCACGGCTGGCTGAGGGGCCTCCGGCCACCGCTACCCCGCCATCTAAAGGGGCTATGGAGGAAGATGGGGGGGGGGAGAGAAATCCCTTCAGCGGGGCTTCGTGAGTGGGGCGAGGACCCCTCAAAACACCCGTGGGGATAGAGGAGAGGGGGAATAAGAGGGGTGAAAAAGCCGGGGCTGGGGTCGGCGGCCACTCACAGAACTCGGCGATGTAGTAGGAGACGGCGTAGTTCTCCTCGCACCACTCCAGGGTGGAGGTCGGGGGGCCCCAATAACCCTCCCGGTCAGCGGCCGGGGCCATGGCGGTGACCGCTCCAGGCCACAGAGGAGCCGGGGAAGGAGAAGGGAAGGAAAAGAAGGGAAGGAAAAGAGGGGAAGGAAGGTGGCCAGGGCCCGGAGCAAGGCGGCAGGAGGGCGGGAGCCGCCGCTGGGCCCGCCCGGCCGAAGGCGGAGCTGGAAGGGGGGGGGGGGGGAGCGAGAATTAAAAAAAAAAGGGGGGAGAAAAATGGGGAGTTGTCATGGCGACCGGCCTGCCGAGCCGCCCTCTGAGGGGGGAAGCGTGGCGGCGAGGCAAATTTTGGGGTGGAAAAGGGAAATTTGGGGAAATGCTGAGGGGAAAAGGGCGGCTGGGCGCAGGCAGCGACATGGCCTCACTGCGCTGCTCTCCTCCTCACCCCCCTCTGAGTCCCAAACATCCCCCGCAGGGTCACTGTGGTGACATAAAGGTGGTTTTCCCCCCGTTTTCTTCTTTATTATAAAAAATAAAGGCTCGTCATGTGCTGGTGTCTTGTTTTTAAACGAACAGGAGAGCGCTTCTCGTAGTCGTGGGCCGGGAGGAAGGAGGCAGAGAGGTTTTTTATAGCGCTGCCTACTACACGGGGGTTTTCTCTCAGCTGATGCCTTTATTTAGTTCCTCGCTCTTACTACGTGTACTATACTTACACCAGGAATATGCAAAGTGAATATGCAGAGTTCATTTCCAAAGGCAAATGCAAGCTAAAAAGAGAAAGTCTTGAAACAGGGGGGGAAAAAAAACGCAAAACTGAAGGCCTGATAACGCTGCGTGCTTTTTGTGTTTCAGGGAAAGGTCCCAAGATGTAACGAGAAGCTTCAGGCAGACCTTGAGTGCTCTACCCAGTTGTTACACCTACTGGTCAGTACAATTTATTCTATAAAAACACACAAACTCCTTTTGCCACGTTTTATTTCTTCTCGCCTCCCCTTCCGTAAGCTAAAAAAAACCCTCCGGTCTAAATACTGACCTTTCCTAGTGTAAATGCAAGTGCTCCACAATACACGCATCTGTCCTGAAGAGTAACCTCCCTTCTTCGGTTCAACATGTATCCAAGTGCTTTCAACATCATGCAGAAACGCGTTTAACATTTTCTGTAATGATATAAAGCATTCAAAGCAAAATTAATCTTACTGTTTGCAATAATAAAATATTTAGACTGTCAAAACATCATCAAAATCGCTGTGCATTTTTTTTATGCAGACCTGTCTTTTTCTTTTTTCAGAACCAGATTATCTTCCCCATATTCAGACTTTTGAGACTGAGGTCTGGAAGAGCAGCAAGCCGATTCAAAAGCACAAAACTGGTTGTGAATTTTGAGGAGGAATCTAGTCTGGTTGCTGCACAGTAGCTTTTTGGACTTTTGAATGTTCGTTTCTTATAGTAAGGAAGTTGCTAGGGCTCTGATCTATCTTTTCTTATCATGGTTAACCATATTAAGATTAAAAACTCTTAACAGGAAAATAACTCAAAGTTTGAAATTACAGTTCAGAAACTGAAGAAAGAAATATCCCCCTGACACAGCAGGAGCACAAAATGGGAACAAACAATATGTACCATATTCAGTTACAATTGGTTTTAAATAATTTAAAATATTGATGTTTGTTTCTGTTCTCATCTAATATGCATGCCGGACATGACAAGGTTTGTAATTGCAATAGGAAAAAGAAAGACAGACACAAAACTAGCTGTATAACTAGGAGGATAAATTAATGAAAGATTTTATGGGGTGGGCAATAACTACATGGATTGTTATTCTTTCTATTTTTTTCTAGGTAAGAGAGAGAAAGATAAGCTCAAATGTATAGCTAGCACTTAATTTGAATCATTGGGAAATTTTTACTTGTTTGATGTGTTTCGGTAGTATTCTCCATTTTAATAAACGTTTATTTCTGACTTACTCTGTGGTTTGGATCTCTGCTTTTGAACTCTGGCAAACCTTTCAGTTATTGCACTCAAAGAAGGATAGCATTTAAGAGACAGCCACGAACCATTATAATACATGCTTTTCTTTCTAAAACTGTTTTTTAAAGGTAAATCCATTTTCTACAAACACGACTTTCACTGTCTCAGCTGCTACGATAATACATATTAAAAGCAGTACTTTTCCTCTGTAATGCTTAGCTATGCTTTGTAGTGTAGATTGCCACACTGGATATAATGTGACAGCCTGAGGTTATTTGCATCTAAATGCGTTTTCTCTAACTAGATAGTCAAACCTACTTGTGTCCAGGTGTTATATTTTCTTTGTCTAATCTGTAAGACACACCGAGGGAATATCTCATTTTTGAAGTAACAAGTAAAGAAACTAACACGGAGCTCACAAAGTCCTTATTTTCAGTATCACTAAAAATTTACCTCACATGCCAGTGGAGTAATTTCCCGTGGCTCCTCCTGGTTGCACATGGCAAAGGATCCTCTTTCCACACTGTTTTGTGTCACCCTAAACCTCATGGCCTAAGTGAAAACTAGCGGATCAGTTAATCGAGTCATGTCAGTTTACACCACTAGAGGGATATGCCCTGTAAATTTAGCATGTGGATCCAGTAGTGTTCTGCTTGGGTCTGAGATGCGGCTGCTGTTCCAAAATTGCACAGGTTCAGCTGTTTCTCTTCGTGGTCCATGAAATTCAGAAAATGACACCTGAATGTTAAAGAACTTTTTTTTCTCAATCCCTTCACTATGAAGACACTTTATCATGGCTTGTTCTGCTGGTTGTTTAATTTCTGTATAAAATGAGTCCTAACAAACAGATTGATTAGAACTTATTAGAGCTGCATATGCTGGAAGAGACTGTACATATTCCTTCTCATCAGTAATTGCATGCAAAGGAGGAGATAAAATTGACGCAAAATCTTGAAGATGTTTTCACTACTTGGTTCTAACAATGTTAAAATAAAGGTATCAGTCACTGGTTCAGAAATAAAGCTGGATTTTGTGCTGCAAATTGTCTGGTCATTTTATTTTTATTTTTATTTTATTTTATTTTATTTTATTTTATTTTATTTTATTTTTATTTTTATTTTTATTTTTATTTTATTTTATTTTGTTAATTATGAGCCTGTGCATCTTCTAGTATTGTATTTTAATGGGTCATAGCATATACAACATCTTAGGCATGGAATCCCGAGACAGGCTTCTCAGCTCAAAAAGTTCACGTCCCATGAACACGTCAGCTTCCAAATACTTCAGCTCAAAATGCTGTTTTTGGCAGCTTTCTGGCAATTGTCTGCTCTGTACAGAAGGTCATTAACACCTTTACCTCCCCCGAGCCTGATCCTGTGTAACATGTAATTTATCCCGTTGATTTAAATGCAAATAGCATGAGTAAGATGCTAAAAGCAGGATTGAAGAAGACTGAATCAGACTCTTTGTAAAGTGCTTTGAAGTTTAAGGGCACTTTATAAGCACTGTTGTTAGGCTGATGATAATTATGCCTGAAGCAATATCACAGAAACTATCAGCACGTGAATGAATGAAAAAGAAAAGACGTTTCCTAACACGACGAAGGATCTGGTCCAAGAAACTTCAGCAGACTTTAGTAGAACTGATTCCCTATTCATAGGGAATGTAATATTCCCTATTACATAGCTAGGTAAAGCAGGTACGTCTGCTGAAGTTAAATGGAGCGATGCATTTGTAAAGCTTCATCGAAGTCCTACAGCCGTATAAATATTCATGAATTTGCCAGTGCAATATGACTGCTCTTAGTCATATTTTGGGGGATATTGTGTGCATTTTGGCAAGCGGCTGTGGTAGTGGGTGACAGCGTCACAGATTTTCACTCTGGATTCTGTGAGCACCAAGCTCTGACAGGATCAGATATAAATTCAACCACTTGAATAGGGTTGGTGAAAACAGGAACTGCTGAGCACAGCTACTTAGGAAAGGGGGTGCAGCCTACCAAGGAGCCACATTCTCAGTTACATCCACAGTAACTCCTCTGAGTGCAGTGAATTCAATAGAAATATGTGACGGTGTCAGAGGTGAAGTTCAGCTTTGGATTCCCCCACTTCCTGCCAGCCTTCAGTTCTCGTGTCGCCTATGACCCCAACATCCCTCTCGCAGATGGTTTTTCGGTTCTGTATCCAATCCTCAAAGCATTTTTCCTCTCCATCCTTTTCCTCGTACAAACTTATCTGATGGGGTCTGGCACAGACACATCCCAAAGGCTTTCGAATCAAAAGCTGAGGCAGATGGTCACGTCCAAAGCAGGTCCCGTTTTGCTAAAATCAGGATGTTTTGCTTACTCCTAGCAAGGGATTAAACTAAAGCTTATCTGCACGCAGGTTACTACCCAGAATGTTGACAGCATGTGTAGGTATCTCCAAGCACCTGCAGCTTTTCCGTGCATTAAGCAAGAGATAAAAATTATGTCAATTTGCACTAATTTGCAGGTCTGAAATTGGTACGGGAGAAGGTAAACCTGCTGTTCAGCCACTCCTCTGGGAGAAGCAGCCGGCGCTGGGGAAAGTGAAAAAGGAGAGCTCAGCTTGGTAACTTTTCCACTCATCTGAGCTTAATTCACCCCTAGATGTGAATCAGAACCCTTATCGGCTGCAAAACATCTCTGCTAAATGTACACCAATTTCAGCTGAAATACGAAGTGATGATCTATCAAGGGAGGGAGACTTTCTGAAAGCACAAATGGCAGGTGCCTCGGTCTCATTGACTTTCAAAGGAATCCAGGAATCAGTCTGCCTTTGTTCTTTGGAAGTCTTCTCATGCTTTAAAAAAGCAAAAGCAAATGCCATAATGATTCATTGGTTACACTTGTAAACAGCCTTCTCCTTAGAAAAAAAATAAGGCAAGCTATCTTCTTCTGTGCACCCATTTACGTACACCGAGCTCAGTCTGAGACACACATGAACTCTGTAAGCATTTAAGCCTGTTAACCTTAACTCAGATCCTGCCTTAAAGTCCACGTTCACTTCCTTAAGTGCTGGCATCTGTTGTCACTTGAGATCCTTTCGGAACAGCAGCTGAAGGCCAGGCAGGATGCCCTGGGGTCACTGGATATTTCCTAGATCCAGTGTTGTAGCACATACGGCTCTCAGCTGCTCTGCATCCACGAGCACAAAACATTTGTGTTTTGGGGACTGAATTGACCAAAGGTGCCTGGCATTTTTGGAGAGAAGAAGTTGAGGGCTCGAATCCCATTTATACTGTTGTGCAAAGCCCTCTGCTCTGGTTTGAGGTCTGTAAGCCTCCTGCTATGTTTTCTGGGATCTCTAATGGACTCTTGGAATTGCTTTGGCCTCAGTTGGCTGCAGTTCAGGCATTCATGGCAAGCAGCCTCACTTTTACATATTGCACCACTCAGTGGAGCATGCTATCCTTAGGACAACTTCGAAACTTCCTATATCAAACCTAGAAGGAGAGAGAGACCAGAGGATGAGAGCCACAAAAAGTTGGCTCTCTCCAGGGCTTGAACAGGCAGAACCAAGTCCATCTGGGACTGAAAAACTTGGAGAAGCCCTGGCACCACAGGCTTGAAGTCCTGGCTTATCCATCCTTCCCCCTCTTTCCAGTTTTGGTCTATGGTCAGATGGAGACTGAGCAGAGGCTGATCTGTGACCACTTTAATGCAGGAATCGAAGTCCGAAAAATGGACTTAAGGTGAATTTTGAAGGCAAAATACTGTTGAGCAAACCGCCTGTGAGGCAGGGAGAGGCTAATCTAAAGCCTGTGAGGGATAAGGGCTGAAGCTTTTCGACCCCAAATCATCGTGGGGATAGAGTTAGAAGAACTAGTTATTACCAGCATCTCACCCTTTTTTTTTCTATAATTTTCAATTTGTGGGCAAAAAAGCACCCACAGACCATTTGTTCACTGTATCTTGTATAATGAATCAATTAGTGCCTGCACATGGAAGGCGATATATCCCACCCCATCCTCTGCAGAAGCCTTGTCCACCCAATTGTGCACTGCTCTGCATTCAGTTTCATTTTTAGGGAAGGCAATTTCCCTGCATTGCTACTCTTGAAAACCTCTGGAAAAGGGGAAAACCGTGAGGAGCAAGCAGCAAGCCTCAGTGCTAAGCAGATACAGCTACATTAAAACGTCAAATGTTAGAAGAATTAAAAAAAAATAATGAAAGAAAGAACACTAGAGATATCTTCAGTTACACTGCACCTACAGTAGGAAAGGCAGCTGCTATTTTCTTCCTTGATCTCATGAAAAATGACATGCATATTTACCCCGAGCTTATGCAAATTTTTCTATCTTGCCTGGAAATGAAGCACGTTCTGCTCATCTAAAGCAGCCATTGTTATATTTCCTTCATTTGCTGCAGGAAGGAGGAGGAGAGGAAAGAGATCGAGTAATTATTTACTTGGCAAAAAATCCTTTGTTACCTTTCTGGATATCAGCTAATTACCAGTGAGCTAATCAACTTACACCTCAGCCAAATTCTTTCTTTTAACAAGTCCTTAATAAAGGAGACTGCTCAGACAGTTCACATTGACTTTATTAGCATAGCTTGAATAATTCAGAGCTGTGAACTCAAAGGGGGAGAAAAGGAAACGCAAGGAAATCCAATAACGCATTTCCACTTGCAACTTTCTTCTGGGGTAACGTCTGTCCCATGGTCATTCCCACAGGAACCGTTTGATGATCAACCTCAATAGGGTTGCTCATTACTAGGCAGGGAGGGAAAGAAGTTTCCTGGAGCTTTTGTACCACTTTTCTGGTGGAATCAGCTCCTTGTGCTGTTGAAAACCAAATCTTCAGCCACCTTGGTGAAGCCCTCACCCTTCCCATATTGATGTGGACGAGAGCTGGCTTCCAGGCATGGCAGTGCCCAGGGGTTTGACACCCTGAACCTAATACACGTGTCCTAACAAAGCTGTAGAGAGCTGGCCCATCATGACACACTTTAGGGAAAAGCGTGGTCCAGAG